AGGTTCGGTGTGATATCAACGCCCAGGTCTTTCTCTCTATTTGACTCCTGCAGGATTTCACCTCCCAGATGGTACCTTGTGTTCAGCCTCCTGCTCCCTTCGCCTAATTTCATTACCTTACACTTTCCTGAGTTGATCTTTAGCAGCCATTTTCTAGACCATTCCTCCAGTTTGTCCAGGTCATCCTATAGTCTCTGTCTATCTTCATCCATGTTGATTTTTCTCATAATTTTTGAATCATCAGCAAACATTGAGAGGAACGAGTCTTTACTCTCCGGAAGATCGTTTACATATATTAGAAACAGGATGGGTCCAAGTACTGAGCCCTGTGGGACTCCGCTGGTGACATCTCGCCACTCTGATGTATCCCTCCTCACCGTTACTCGCTGTTTCCTGTTGCTTAAGTACTCCCTTATCCACTGGAGCACCTTCCCTTTTACTCCTGCCTGTTGCTCCAACTTTTTGAACAGCCTTTTATGGGGGTACTGTGTCAAAGGCTTTCTGGCAGTCCAGGAAAATGCATTCGGTCCACCCTTCTATTTCCTGCCTAATTTTTGTTGCCTGGTCATAAAATTCTATTAGACCTGTGAGGCACGATTTACCATCCCTGAACCCATGTTGGTGGTGTATTACAAAGTTATTTCCCTCCAGATGATCTACGAGCCTTTTCCTCACGATCTTCTCCATCACCTTGCATGGTATGCAAGTTAGGGAAACTGGCCTGTAGTTCAGTGCCTCTTGCCTGTCACCCTTCTTGTATATTGGGATTATGCAAGCTGTCTTCCAACTTTCTGGTAGGTCTCCTGTTTCCCGTGACCTGTTATACACCATAGAGTGTGGCACACTTAGTGCTTCTGCACCTTCCTTTAGTATCCATGGTGAGATTCTGTCAGGCCCAACAGCCTTTGTCACATCCAGCTCCAGCAGACACCTTTTGACCTCATCACTGGTGAGGTCAAATTCCTCCAAGGTTGCTTGGTTTGCCTCCTCCTCATTTAGTGCAGGGGCTTCTCCTTGTTCTATTGTGAAGACCTCCTGGAATCTCTTGTTTAGTTCTTCACACACCTCCTTGTCATTCTGTGTATCTGTTCTCCCCTTTTTTCAATTTCATCACTTGTTCCTTCACTGCTGTTTTCCTTCTGATATGGCTGTGGAGCAGCTTTGGTTGGGTCTTGGCTTTACTCGCTATGTCATTTTCATACTGTCTCCCTGCTTTCCTCCTCACTCTGAGGTACTCATTTCTAGCCCTTTGGTATCTCTCACTGCTCTCCGGTGTTCTGTTATTTCTGTAGTTTCTCCATGTTCTTTTACTCAGTTGCTTCGCTACCTTGCATTCCTGGTTGAACCATGGGTTTTTCTGTTGTTTTTCGTTTTTCTCCTTTTAGACGGGGATAAACCTGTCTGCAGCTTTCTGGAACTTTTGGGTGACAAAATCCATCATGACCTGCACATTCTTGTCTCTAAGTTCTGTTTCCCATGGTATTCCCCTGAGGAAGTTCCTCATCTCGTCATATTTTCCTCTTCGGTAATTCAGTCTTTTCCCCACCACTCCCATCCTTGGATAGGTTATCCCTACCTCCACCAAGTACTCAAAAGTCAGTACACTGTGGTCACTCATTCCTATGGGGGCTTCAACTTTGACTGCCCTTATTTCTGACTCATTCAGGGTGAATACCAGATCGAGTCTAGCTGGTTCATCATTGCCTCTGACTCTTGTGGGTTCCCTGACATGCTGGCTCAGAAAGTTCCTTGTTGCCACTTCCAAGAGTTTAGCTCGCCACGTATCTGCACCACCATGTGGGTCCCCATTCTCCCAGTCTATCTTTCCATGGTTGAAATCGCCCAAGATTAAGAGTCTTGAGCCATTCCTGCAGGCAACTGAAGGTGCTCTCTCTATTATATTATTGGTTCCCATGTTGTTCCTATCAAACTCCTGTCTAGGTCTTCTGTCATTTAGGTGAGGGTTGCAAATGACTGCCACTATTATCTTAGGTCCACCCATTGTTATAGTTCCTGTTATGTAATCTCTGAACCCGTCACAGCCCGGAATTTCCATCTCATCAAAACTCCAGTCCTCCTTATCAGCAGGGCCACTCCTCCACCTCCTCTCCCTTCCCTCTCTTTCCTTACTATATAGTAGTCCTTTGGAAACACAGCATCTGTTATGACTCCTGACAATTTTGTTTCCGTGCGTCCTATTACACCAGGGTTTTCTTCTTGCGCCTTTCTGCCAGGTCACTTGCCTAATTGGTAATCCCATCAATGTTTGAGTACATTACCTTGAAGCTCACTTTCTTATATCCAATTTCACCCACACTCCCCACTGGGGTAAGGGGAGAGGGAGAATTTGGGTGATATGATGGGCATTGTGCAGGGGCAAGGAAGGGTTTATGCTGTGGGTTAGGGAGGGAGGTCCTATTGGGTGGTGGGCTGAGGTGTTGCAGTCCTCTCTGGGGGTTCCTGAGTTGCTGGTTTGGGGTTCCCCACTCCCCTCTGGGATTGCTGGTTTGGAGGCTGAGGTTCCCTGGCTCCCTTCCCTCTCCCTGCACCTTTTCCTTGCGTCTGCTGCCCGTACTATCTCGTCCCTGGTCATGTCCCTCTGAAGATATACCTGTGTGTGTACTTATGTGTATATATACCACTTATGTGTTATACCACTGCGTGTGTACTTATGTGTGTACAGAGAGAGAGAGAGAGAGAGAGAGAGAGAGAGAGAGAGAGAGAGAGAGAGAGAGAGAGAGAGAGAGAGAGAGAGAGAGAGAGAGAGAGTGATAGAGAAAGAGAGAGAGACAGACAGAGAGAGAGACAGAGAGACAGACAGACAGACAGACAGACAGAGACAAATGCGAGGCTACCTTTGGGGTCAGGAAATTGACCGTGAGGATACCTACGGCTTTAGCAAAGGAATATTCCATTATGATGTTTTGACTGGTATTAAGATGTTTGCAAACCCAAGCAAACTCCTCCACACACTCTCCAGGAGGTCTGAGGTCACCTGGGTTGACCTCCCTGAGTGTCACACGGGCGTGAGGGAGAAGACCGCCTGAGACGAGAGAAATAATTGCCATAAATGATGGAGGAGAGAGTAAAGAGGACCAAGAAACCTGTGGAGGGACAGAAACTGAGAGAGGAGGGGGCAGGCCAGAGACGGGGATAGGGCCAGAGACGCGGATAGGGCCAGGGATGATGGGGCGGAGCTTGCTACACCAAGCGGCCAGTTTGGGCACAAAGTTTCACTTCTATATTTACAATTCATTAGCCAGCATGTGCCGCCTGTTTGTTGTCAACCAGCGGAAGGTCCCGACTTAGCGTTGTCAACCCGCAAAAAATGCAAATATATTAATTTAAGTAAAGAATTCCAATAATAAAACCTGCAATTCAATAGTTTACATTCGCGAGCCACGCCCACTGTTGCCAAGTATACCGACTTGCCAGCCCTGGGAGCCGCCAGGTTAATAAAGGCACGAGATGTGATCCATCAGGTTGGCAACTCTGACACACCTTGAAGAGATACGTTAATTCACATATTAAATAGATTTAGTGGTTGATCGACTGTCTGTTCACTTGTTCCCTAGATGAATTATTTAATTATTGGTGTTGATTGACTGAGTGGTTTGTTGAGCAATGTTTATAATATAGAAAGTGATGAGTAGTGGTGTAGAGCTGTAGTCTGTTATTTGTGTTTGATTTAATGGTGTTAATGATTGTAGGATTGTAGGATGTCTGTCTGCCTGTCTCTCATTTTCTCTTTCTCTGTGGTGACGTTCTATTGTTGGCACTGTGCCAGAAGAATAAACTGTGACCCTGGAGTAATGGTGCCAAGTGCTCTCTCCTTCTTGTCTTCCTCCCGCTTCCTCGGTCTCTTCTCAAACTTTTTGCGCTACCGCTCACAGGATGGGTATGGGGTGCACAATAAACTAGCCGCCGCCGGCGGCAACAATCAAATCAAAGGAGAGAATGGAGACACTGCCGAAGGGCGGACAAGACTAAAAAAAAAAAATATAACATACATACATATTATATATATATTATATATATATATATATATATATATATATATATATATATATATATATATATATATATATATATATATATATATATATATATATTTTCTTGCAGCAGTCTTTCTTGTAAACACATGTTGAATTTAACCGAGAGGGTAAGATTAATGATTCTAACACGCATCTTCTCAATATTTCTTACGTTTTTCTTCACTGTCGAAGGTAATTGAAAAATTAACTATCCAAAGTTTATTTCCACATTTATATTTATGGTCTGACGCCTAGAAGCGTTTCGCAAGACTTCTCACATTTTCAAAGACAAATTTTTATGTACGCCGTTTCATGCTTATATTTGCTTTTGTGTGAGGTGATATGACACAAACCAATAGGTAATCATTGGGTTAAGATTATTGTACATAGTCAGAACACGAATTATTGTGTATTTTATCTTCTTGTTTCTGTGTTGGTTCGGGATCTTGAAGTGGGTAGAATGTAATTATGTGTTAATTGGCTGCTGATTGCTGGTGTTGACTTTTTGATCTCCACATCAAAAAGTCAACACCGGCGTCAGACTATAAATAAAAATGTGAAAATGAACTTTGGAGAGTTAATTTTTCAATTACCCTCGACAGTGAAGAAAAACGTAAGAAATACGGAGAAGATTCGTGTTAGAATAATTAATCTTGCCCTTTCAGTCATATTTAACAACATATGTTTAAAAGAAAGAATATATATATATATATATATATATATATATATATATATATATATATATATATATATATATATATATATATATATATATATATATATATATAATATATATATATATAAATATAAAGAATATATATATATATATATATACATATATATATATATATATATATATATATATATATATATATATGTATATATATATATATATATATATATATATATATATATATATATATTAATAATAATAATAATTATAATGTGAGAGGGGGATGTACTCACCGTCTGGGGCGTCGAGAGGTCCCAGCACATCATACAAGTTTGGCCTCATCACCTGTAGCCGCTCCATGGTGGGGACGGCGACCAAAGCCTGAGTTGCCTTAAGATCCTTATAATTCTCCTCCAAGTCGTGGCCAAGATATTATACAGGTTTTGTATTCCTTGTCGTTGTCTCTCCTCTCAGATTTGGTCAGATGATGGACGGGTTCCTTCCTCAATTAGAACGATTAACTCCCAGCTGCTGCTCTTTCCTGGGGCCGGAGCTCAAGATGAATTCCTTCTTGGCGTGGCCACAACTACCGTCGTCCTGTGCCGACGACAACCACGACGCCTGTATGGAGTCTTGGATGGTGAGAGCAACCTTGCCTGACCGCGGGGCTCCTGGCTTTCACACGCCGCCGGGTGGCCTTCGGAGGAATGCGCGCGCAGGGGGTAACGACGCTAGATAAGCAGTCGCTCGCGGTTATTGCAGGTTGGATCTGACGGTAGCGGAGCAGCTGGTGGAGGACGGAGCAGCCACAAGAGAGAGAGATTACGCGGGACGGTATGACACCCGCCCGTGGCTGGAGCTGCCGGGACACTGAGTGTGTGAAGCGGCCTTGGCAGCCACCACGGCTACAGGCAGCCAGGGGGACGTGAAGACTCCGTGCCTCCGTCGGCGTCCTCAAGGCTGCTGCTGGGGGGTCGGAAATTGTATCTAATCCAAGAAGATTGGAGATAGAGATCTCTAGATTAGAGAAGTATATACTTCCAAGAAGATTAGAGCGATAGAGAAGTAGAGGTCTGTTGTTACTGACTGGTAGCCTAACGCATGCTGGGCAATTCCCCTATGTTGATGTGTGCGAGAGAACGAGACAGTGAGAGAGAAAGAATAAACAGAGAGAGAGATAGAGAAAGAGAAGTTCTAATCCTTGTGACATTAATTCATATACACGCATGTCATACACCTCCAAGTATGGTCAACGGTCGCCACACTTGCCACATCTCCAAGATGTGGCAAGAATATTGCCTTGTATTTCCAAGGTAATACAAGGCTTCATACAGTTGTATTAGTCAAAATTCAATTTGTATCTCTTAATGCTAGAAGGACACATGTACGAAGGAAGCGTACGAACAATAGAACTATTACATTGGGAAACCTGGAATGCTACTGCTCCCACGAGGCTTCCACTGAAGGGGAAGCAATTCTTTTACCATGTGTTGGTACAGTTGACTAGAGCGGGTCTGGGAACATCAAACACATAGGTTCGAATCCTCATCACGGCCCCATGTGGATTTGTTCATTGATATATTATGGTGTTGTGATTTATGTGTAAAGTGGTATTAATGCTTTAAATTATTATATACAGTACTGAGGAAAGCAGATAAGGGTTGCGAACGACGTCGTTACTGAGAGGAGAAACTGTGGTAAGAATGTGCAGGGGAGTCTGGCCAGATGCAGACAGTTATACAGGGTCGTCGGCGGCTGAGGCGGCGTGCTTAAGTATGTACAATGGTTGTGTTCTGGTGTTACCAAGGTCGGTGCTGCCTCATGTACACTGTACTTAGTGTGTTCTCTAACTCTGTCTCTCTGTCTCTTTGTTTCTGTCGCTCCCTCTCTGTCTTTCTTCTCTCTATCTGTTCTCTCTCTCTCTCTCTCTCTCTCTCTCTCTCTCTCTCTCTCTCTCTCTCTCTCTCTCTCTCTCTCTCTCTCTCTCTCTCTCTCTCTCTCTCTCTCTCTCTTCTCTCTCTCTCTCTCTCTCTCTCTCTGTCTCTCTCTCGTCTCTCTCTCTCTCTCTCTCTCTCTCTCTCTCTCTCTCTCTCTTCCTCTCTCTCTCTCTCTCTCTCTCTCTCTCTCTCTCTCTCTCTCTCTCTCTCACCCTGTTCTAGATGACGGAATAATTCGAATGCCAGGTAGTGGCACCAACGGTAGTGCTGGGATCACCCTAGTGCCAGGTAGTGTCATCAATCATCAAGACAACCTCAGGTCGTGAGTGCCAAACGTGTGCCAAATAATGACGACACACGCCGTGGCTCTGATCATGACAGAGTCGTACAGACGACCTGTGGACGCGCTAGGCTTCAAGATCTTGCGAGCACCAGTGGCAAGTGCTGACAAGTGGCTGGCCTATGTCATCGCTGTGGGAGTCATGGCTCGCTAGCTCGGGGTGTGTTAGGGTAAACACAGTGCCACTAGAGTTGAGGGGGGGGGAGATAGTGCCTCGGAGATAAGCAGGGGGGGGGCGAGTATCAGTGGCACTCAGCTACTATGTCAGTCAAGTCACAAGGTACCCAGCCGGCTAAGTCAGCAATCAGCAGGAAAACCTTGGAAAATAGAAATCTTTAATGATTACCATTAATGATTATTTTAGTGATGTAACTATTTAGCATTATTATTATTATTATTACACAGAGAAATCACAATGACGTGATAGATCAAATGAATAAATTCACAAGGGCCTTGATGAGAGGGGTTCGAACCTTGTGCTGTGTGTGTGTTCCCAGACGCACTCTACCGAAATGAATAATTTCCCAAACATGAATTGATCTTATTCTATGCTCAAATTTGGCATGTAATTTGGCTTTGATTTGGTTCTGTTGGCTATAATTTCTTTTCAGCACATGAGTGAAGGATTTAGGCAGGGGCCCGTGGAGCACAGAAAGAGGGCGAAGAAAAGCTCGAATGAATTCGAAAACTTTTCGAATGTGCATTCGAAAAATACGAATGTACATTGAACAAAGAAAGTTCAGTGTGATTTATATGTAAAATGTTTGCCAATCATAAACATTGATTTTGGCATCTAGACTTAAGGATCATTCAGCCATTGTTTATGAGGACGGGCTGCATATATGGCACTAAACAGGTTGCCTTTTTTGGTTGAGAAATGTTTTGCCTTGAAATGAAAAGTTTTCAAAGCGCACTTCTCAATTAACCCTGATTATCGAGTCACATACGATCCCTCAATCGTCGCCGCCCCAAAATCAATAACAATTAATCCTAATCCAAACACTTCTAGGTACAATAACTCCCAAAGATATAATCAATAATTATCTAACCAACATAATCTAACCAAACGTATGACTAGTTAAACAGGTGAAAAATCTTCGTTTTTTATACCTAGAAGTGCTTGGATTAGTATTAATCCAAGCTTTCACTTTCAGGTCTGAAAGTGAGGGAAGTGACTTCTCTCGAAAGAACTAGTATATAGAAAGGTTTCCCGAAAGAACTAGTATAAAACGCAATGGTTTCTTTAGATCTGATGCCTCATATGGGCAGCACAAAACGTCCATCAGTTTGTGGTTGCTAGGATCAGGTTGGGTTACCGTTACCTGTGGCAGGTGGCTACTAGTAACGGATCTCCCAATCCTGAGCACTCCATGTGCAAACTCTGTGAGCAGGAACTGCGGCATGATCTCCCACACTATATCACCGAATGTCCAGTTATCAGACCTGCCTGCATGAGATACCTGGAGCTTTGAAATTACTTTATTCACTCTGGTGTTCTGGAGGATAGCCTCATAATGGATCCCAAGGTTTGCCAGAGCAGGCTACTGATCACATGGCCCTGTATGACTAACCATCCTGCGAGATGGCGAATATTTGGTTTTGTTTAGCATCACATAGGAAGCTCTTGTCACGAAGTACGCGACCCTTGATATAGTCTAAGGTAGCTGCATAAATGCAGATGTACCTAAGTTCAAAACAAAACTGTTTCTGTTTCTGCCTCTCTCTCAGCCTCTCTTGCTCTTCCTGTTTCTCTCTATATATCTATCCATATATCCCTATAAGATATATCCATATATATATATTCTCTACTAGCTGTAGGGAGATATATCGCGTAGAGGAAGCCTAGTGATATCATGCCAGAGTCACGTCTCGCTCAAACACATGCACAATTCTCCATGTTAAATCTCTTAGGTTTATCACCAGGGGAATAGGCTAAAGTTACAGCCACTCAAGCATAAATGATCATCAGAAGATGAGACACATTGCCTTTACATGTTGATCATGTAGGTGCATGGGGTTATCTTGAGGTTATCTTGAGATGATTTCGGGGCTTTTTAGTGTCCCCGCGGCCCGGTCCTCGACCAGGCCTCCACCCCCAGGAAGCAGCCCGTGACAGCTGACTAACACCCAGGTACCTATTTTACTGCTAGGTAACAGGGGCATAGGGTGAAAGAAACTCTGCCCATTGTTTCTCGCCGGCGCCCGGGATCGAATCCGGGACCACAGGATCACAAGTCCACTGTGCTGTCCGCTCGGCCGACCGGCTCCCTTAGTAGTCTTAGAGGGGGACTGTTATTGCAATTTCAAGTCACTGTGTAAGGAATTTTGACGTGTGTGTGTGTGTGTGTGTGTATGTGGTGTGTGTGTGTGTGTGTGTGTGTGTGTGTGTGTGTGTGTGTGTGTGTGTGTGTGTGTGTGTGTGTGTGTGTGTGTGTGTGTGTGTGTGTGTGTGTGTGTGTGTGTGGTGTGTGTGTGTGTGTGTGTGTGTGTGTGTGTGTGTGTGTGTGTGGTGTGTGTGTGTGTGTGTGTGTGTGTGTGGTGTGTGTGTGTGTGTCTGTCTGTCTCTCTCTCTCTCTAACCACTGCTACAATGACCTCTTTCCCATCAGCTGACAGAGTTCCAGTGCTGTAGTCAGTATAGCCGTTTATATCACCATTTGCTAATTCTTCAAATTTACTCTTTCGTTTTATTAGGAGTGTCAAACATGACTTCATCAGGCTTGCCAAACGTGATTTTTCTCCTTTTAGATCCATGCTGCCCCTTTTGTTCCAACGTTCACCCTCTCCAAGTGCTCAAGTGTTCTGAACATTACTATTTTCTCACTTTACACTGAATACTTCTCTGTAACTAGCTGACATTGTATCTATAAGGTGTGAAGGATTGAAGAAATTGTTTATGTAATAATCTAAGATGAGGTCTGATAAAGACCTTTTGTGCCCTCTGTAATGCTTTTGCGCTACCGCTCACAGGATGAGTATGGGGTGCACAATAAACTAGCCGCCTTCGGCGGCAACAATCAAAAAAATCAATCAACGGAATACTTGTCAATGACACCGGTCTGTAATTTCGTGCCTCCTGTCCGTCCTTTTTTTTAATATTTGGACTATGTGGCCCCTTTTTCACAATTCTGTGAGTTTCGTCTCAAGTGTTTCGATTAAAATATTTGTTAGCGAGTGACAAGGTACCTCTGCCGCCTGTGTACACTGTCATGGGGATATTAGGTTTGGTTCTGTTGGTTTTGTTACATCTAGAGCTCCTTGACGTGCTATTCAACCTCTTCTAAAGTCATCCAGTGTTTCGTCTGGCCATTCATTTCGCAACCCTGGCTCAGCGCTGGTTCTTTTGTGAAGACCGCCTGAAATCTTTTGTTGAATTTCTCACACACACCTTGCTGTTGTGTGTGTGTGTGTGTGTTCATCTGCTTGTATTTACCTATTTGTGCCTGCAGAGTCGAGCTTTTAGCTCTTGGATCCCTCTTTTCCAACCGCCAGTCGTCCAATGTAATGTCTCCCGCCCTATTTTCTCTCTAATGTGTTTGTGACCGGCGCCTGAGAGCGCAGCGACCTCGACCCGCAGGACAAGACTTTTATGTTGGCTGTTGACACCAGGATCTG